GACTCTGGAGAAAAAAAGAAAGTGCTATATCCCGGTGAAGATTAAATTACTGGTAACTTCCGAGGCCTATTAATGGACTAATATTCTATAAATATTCTTATTGTAAAACTATTGAGTAATTAGATTATGTATATTTATATTCCTCTTATTATAAGCTTTATTTTGACCTATATTTTATTATTGTACGATTTACGATTCTTAAGCTGTGCTCAGTCTATTAATTACTGTCCCCCTCGTTCACAGCCACTTTTTGGCTTATTTGTGTACACATGTTATTTTCTATTTTATGGTACGTCGTGGTCTGTCTGATTGATATATAAACCAAGTATGTCTGAAATAAACGATTCGATTCATATTACAGAAGCTGGTATTGTGTTCTGGACTCAAGTGGAAGGGCTAGGAGGACATAGGACCAATCAGGACGCTAAACTGCTTATACCGGTTGAACGTCATTGGTTTGGCATAGTGCGAAATTGTATAAGTCGTATTATGACTGGTCGATAAGTCGCGTGACAGAAAGCCAGACATCAAGGTCATAACAGATAAAAGAAACAGAAGAGCAGTAAGGCACTTGGATATGAACGCCAAACGTTGCTTAACATGGTGTAGTAGAACAGACAGTGATTTAATAAATTAGGTTAAATTCATATTATCTGTTGTTAAAGTGAAATGAAGTCAGCGGCTTCGTATCAGAGAGTGTAGTATTGAAGAACAATAGTCGTGTCGTTTAGCAAGTTGGAGTAAGCTCACATGAAGCAAGGGAAGTCAAGGTTGGTACAAGGAAAGCGGATTATCAGGAGTGTGCATATAGAGGGTGAAGTGTTAAGAATACCAATAACTATATCTTATATTGTCTAGTTTTTTTTCTTTCTCGTTTTTTCGTCCATCCAATGTCAGCCACACAACCCTAGTGTAAAAGTTCGAGTTAGCATGTTATAGGCTGTCTTAGTAGAATAGCTAATACAGCATAAATTTGGAAACATGAGTCTGAGCGGTGAGCGTAGGAAGACAATTCATATCGCAGATTGATTGACTTATTCTCAATCATAAAGAGCCTGATACATACAAAATGTTTTGTCCCACACACTCTGGTGGATCGAAGTCGTCGCCCTCACCATCAATGCTTGCTGGCAAGTAACTCCACCCCCTCCTTTTGTGATGTTAAGCTCATTCAAGTTTATTTTTGGATATATGTCATACCTCATACAATCCTCTGTGTTTCACAACCTGTTGGAAAACACTATTTCTATAAGTACCATTTTACAAGCTTATCAGACAGTTACAAGTTATGGACTGTGGGTAAGGCATCAATGCAGTGCTTCTATTGACTATAGTATAAAGTATAGTTTGCCAATCAGAGCATAAGCATTGAGAAGGGTATAATGTAGGATAGTTGTTTATTAAAGCAGGCGGAAAAGTATAGAAGTATATGAGTTGTAGATAAGTTAACGAGTGGAGAAATTATATAAATTGCTACTCAACATAGTGTACAGAAGAGTAAAAAGTTAATAAAGAATGTTACGAGATGAGTTTAACTGATTCAATTTTTATCCTGGTACTGACACTACCTAAAGAAACAGGATTTTCCACAAAAATAGATAGATTCCATATGGGTTGAAATGCCTTGACATCATGGATTTCACAAGGTACAATTTGGGTTTCACTCCTGTTCTTGATCTTTATTAACGACCTGTTAGATAAAATCAACTCAGTGACACTGCCGACGTAAGGTCGTGAAGGTCCATAGGGCGCGAAAATGATTAACGTGAGCATATAAAAGATCTTACAATAATAAAGAAATAAGCACTAAACCATGGGTTAAAACCTAAGCTTTTGAAATTCCATGTTATGGACTTCCTGCCTCGTTTGAAACAAACGCTTAACATCCTTTGTGGAAACTCACTGCTCCACCTTGGGCCTTTAACCTTAGCTTGAACACTAGCTAAAACCACATAGGATATGAAGCTAAGGCGTAGGAAACATTTCACTTTATGCATAGACAACTTAACGTAAACACTTTTGAGTTGATCTCTACACGTACACCTCCACCTTGAAGCCCACGATGTTGCTTCCTGTTTGTTCCAAAGAAGGACAAATTATTTAGACGAAGTACAGAGACGTGGGTCAAGTGGATAAGAAGCTTAAACATAATTCTTACCAAGACACACTTCAACACTTGAGATTTTTCTCGCCTAGCTACAGATGAATAAGAGGTGATCCGTTAATGGAACACAACATATTAATTATGACAAGTCACCGAAACACGAACAAGTTTCGAGAACATCATCGCAAGGCTACTCGAAACAATCCTAAAACATTGCACATCAAAAAGCGAACACACAAATGTGTTCTTAATTTACCTCGTCAACAGTTGCTCTCATTTGGAATCCTCTCCTAACCGATGTTTAGTTCCGTCTAATTACAAATTTCGGCTAATTAACTCATTTAATACCCTTGGATAAATCGTCTTCTATTAGCACTCCAATAATCACCGTATTATTTTCATACTGAAAACAAATTCCTGCTTTGTAATTTGGTAGTAGGTGTAGTCAAGACACCATACTGTTCAGAGAGAAACACAGTCACTCAAATTAAAATATATACAAATCCTCAAATAACCACCAAACTTACTAGAATTATTGCAGTCAGTAAGCCATACTGCCACCCAAAGGACAGTAACAAGTACATAAAAGCATTGGGAAGCAAAAAGAAGCAATCGAAAAACAAGCAATTGTTTTATACTAGCTCGTGAAAAGGACGTTGTATATATTGGGTTCTACTACCAAAAGCATGACATGTTGCTTTCATATTGTACTGATTTAAGAATATAACTATTGAATTTTATTCAAATTTATAATCATACAGAATGCAGATGGATGGTAAATTTTTTATTTTTGTAGTTGACGCTTATTTTTATAAAGCAAGTTTATTAGTTTATTGACCTTGACGACTTTTGAGTAACCTTGGGGTTAGCATTATCTCGAATTATCAACCGGATCACGGGCGAATGTGCTACCTTTATTCACTGTTTAGTGAGTATTCCGAGTGCCCTCTTTTATTTAACACGTGTAAGTTGTTTACGTGCTTTGTTATCGTGAACGTTTAATGTTATCTTACGGAGCTTATAAGTATTTGAGTTACATCTGTGACCGAATAGCAGGAAATAATCTATATTTACAAGTTCTGTGCCTGTTATTTTCAGTATCAGGTGTCACTGCTTACGATATCTTTAAAGGTTTTCTCAAGAATTTTTGAAAAACGCTACTTATAAGTAGCGTACCTATATATAGGTAGCGTTAACGCTACCTTTAGGTAATTACCTATATATAGGTAATGATTGTAATTGTTAGATGCACAAAACTTGTCCAATTGGTTGATGACACTCATGGTCACTAAAATATATTTAGGGACGCATTAAGGTAAAAACTTTACATTGAGAAAAAGAGGCGAGACTCTAATTTAGTGACGACCTTTGAACGAATCTTAAATGACCTTGACAATTATTAGTCAATCAGAAGACAGTATAAAGTCAGAATATATTGTAAGTAAGGAATTACAGTGGATATTCTTCTTTTACATGATTTAAAAGCTTGTTAAGGTTTGATGAAGGTTCAGAGACTCTGAATTCATAATGCATATTGTATAGAAACTCGTCCATACAGTTGGTGGTTAGGGTTGTTTCCTATCAATAGACACCTCTTCTCTAAAATCCGATGTAAACCGATCGCATGTTAGAACTCTAATCCTAACCTAACCCTAAACCCTAATCTAACCCTAACCTTAACCTAACCCTAAACCCTAATCTAACCCTAACCTTAACCCAACCCTAAACCCTAATCTAACCCTAAACCCTAACCTTAACCCTAATCTAACCTAACCATAATCCTAAACCCTAATCTAACCCCAAACCCTAGCCTTAGCCCTAAACCCTAATCTAACCCTAACCCTAAACTTTAACCTAACCCCAAACCCTAACCTTAACCTAACCCTAAACCCTAATCTAACCCAAAATACTAACCTTAGCCCTAAACCCTAATCTAACCCTTAACCCTAATTTCAACCCCAAACCCTAACCCTTTGGACGAGTTTCTATACAATATGCATATGAATTCAGAACTTCTGAGCCTTTATCAAACCTCAACAAGTTTTTAAATCATGTGAAAGAAGAATATCCACTGTAATTCATTACTTTCTTGTAATATATTTTTACTTTATACTGTCTTCTGATTGGCTAATAATTGGAATTGCTCAAACGCTTCTCATTGGCTCGTCCCTAAATTAGAGTTTCGCCGTCCCATCTGTTTTAACCTCTCATTAATCACCTCCTCTCTAAAATCCACTGTGAACCGACCGTATGCTAGCATCGCGTGTTGGACTTGGCTCCGTGACCTTGAAATTGCTCAAACGCTTCTGATTGGCTCGTCGCTAAATTAGAGTCTCGCCGAAAAAGAAGCATCATTTGACTTGACGTAAAGATGTGAATGTTAACGTCTGATTTGTTATTAAAATATTCTATAAATATTTTTACGACAATGAGTGTTCATTATTTCTCCTTGAGGGCAGTTGTCTCGTGAAGAGTCTGAAAAGTGTACTATGAACCGATATGATCTGCTTTGAAGTTACCCATCTAATCTTCTGAACTTGACAATTGATTTCTGCATCAGTCGTAGATATTATTTCAATCATAATTTAAACGCAAGATGACCCACAACTTTACTTGCTGCTTTAAGTAAGATAAACATAATATAAGCTGGTTCTCTCTACTTAATCGTTTGCTTATTGACCAGTCCAGTTGTAAATACTACACATACATTCCAAATTTCATTGTTCTGTTTATTCAACGCTTTGGTACATTTCAGATTCACAATTCTGATCATACCTTCTCCGAAATTGAATTCAGTCATGAAAAAATAGCTTTATGTCGCGCATTATATTTACTGATAGCCCATCACTTTCAAGTGCTTTAATATACTCTTGACTTCTTAAATTAGTTAAAAGCAATGGATGAACCGCAAATTTCTGTTTTGGAGGTAATTAGAAAGCTTGGCATAGTACCTATCTACGGATGGGAAGCTCGCTTTGATCATAAATACAAAATAAAATGCCGTCCTTTTACCGTGCCACGGGCTTCGCAGATGAGCGATATTCTGGGAATGTCTTTTCGGTTAGTTATTAAACATACCATTGTTTTTAACATTGGGTGTTGTTTTTAGTAAACATTTTGCAAGTAATGTAGGAAATGTTTTCTCAGTAAACCGTCAGAACAAGCATTATTACTACTAAATTTATACCTTATACCCTAAGCGAAGTTATAAAATCTTATTTACATGAATCTTAATAATATTGGTTCAGTTGATAAATTATCGTTTTTAATGATAACCAGTTTGATTCTGGTTCATCTATGGTTTAGCAATTAAGGTAATCCAACTCCAACCAACAGGTATAACGTTTGAACTAGATTCCAATTCCAGTTTAGGATGGCTAGTAGTACCAGTACAAAAACTTGTACTTGGTAGATGAGTTACAGCTGCATGTTATAGGTGATCAAGTATCTTTAAACATTTGCCATGGCTATTGCATTATAAAAATGTAAAATTGTCCTTTAGAAATCGTGACTGTCGAAAATCAGTTTTAGATCAAATTACTGATGTAGCTGAATACGCGATTACTCAAAATAACTTGTGGGACCATAAATCAGCCGCTTTACTAGTTAACAGTATCGTTTTCTTTTTATAGAATTCGGTTTACATCAAAAGCTAAACTACAGAACGTCTGTTACGCTTAAGTAACCATTTCACTCACAATTAAACTTATTATCATCAAACTCGTTCTTACACAGTTGTTGAAAGCGGCTAATCCACAGATTTATTGCGTATGCAGCAAATTTAGCTGTGACAACAAAATTTTAGACTAATGTCCGAAGGAGTGGTACGAAACGTAATAGGTAATAATATGTTGTTTTATAAAAATCAAACTTTGCAGTAAACTTTCAGTTAGGCTAAGTATTTTCGTACAGGGATCGTCCTTAGTATCTACGTGGTTACTAAATTAGTAGCGTATAAAGTTTAAATCACTCTCTAAGCTGATCAAACGTTTATTCCGAAATTTCGATTAGCATTTATCCGGAACTAGGCTTTTCATTGTTAATACCAGCTTCGTCACATTAATAAATCTGAGGCAACTTGGAACTTTAATTAGTCTTATTATTTTCGGCCCATTGGCTGTGATGGTTAATTTTAAAACTTTTGCATGAATTTTGGGCATCATTCTATCTATTTTCTAAGGTAAAGTTGCAGTTTTTACCACAAATTCAACTGTAAACTGTTGATAATACTTCATTCAAGCATGCTCTGCCTTCATTCTTACCTTGAACTCGTATATGTTTTCCGGGTTATTAGCAAAGTAATCTGGGAGAAATCTAAGGTCACTGCGATCTGTTGTTTGTGATTTGAAATATTCTAAAGACGTTACGTTGCTACATAGATCGCAAATTTGTTAGCGACATACTTCTGCAATCGACATTTATTGATTTTTTTGTAAGAATAATACATATGTTATTTATTTATTTCAACACATAAATAGTGGTACAGAGGCACCAAATACATATGCGCCACATAAGTCATTTGATTTGTGTGTAGTCTCTGATATTGCCCGGGTGCTCAGACCGAAGCAGTTGATTTTCTTAGGGGGCCACACACGGAGCCTTTGACCTAAGTTTCTGATCCACAAGGTAATGGAGCAACGTCAGGAGATGCAGTCTCATGGCAGCCGGTTACCAACGATTGGTTCATACTCCATTTGTTCCTTCGGGATGCTGGGGTCGATGTGTACCCTTTGATTTGGAATCAGGGTTTTTCAACCCCCCTAGGTGGACTCTCCGTGTCCACCAACACGGTTAAAGCGCCAGACATTCGCTTTTAGTCCTCTCAATTTTGTAAATAACAGTAATGCCGCGATAAGGCAGTGAGTAGGACATCCCTGGCACCTATTGACGGGAAAATGAATTATGACTTATCAGTACCCAGGAAATATTTTAAATTCCGCTCTTATTCATTTTTCAGATACGCTTTCCGGTTTTACATAAAGAAGCGTTTTATTCAGCACCGATCGCCCTTTATTGATGCCGTTTCTCACGTGCCATGGAGACCCATATATGGCGTACCGATTGGAGGTATTGGCAGTGGTTCTATCGGGCGTGGATATTGTGGGGAGTTTTGTCGTTCAAGCCTGATACCAGGTATGTACTGTTACGACGTACAACCTGTTGATCAAGTAAGTTAACACAGACGATTTTCACTTCTCACTTAATGTTGTTATCTGGGTAAAAGGTTATTGTACTTTTTCAAACATGTATTTATCATTGACTAAATAATAACCCATACTCCCTATCTTTTACTGGTCTTCTACTATGTTTCACCTATGGGGTCCGAGAGATGGTACGACACAGTGGCTAGAGACGTTATCAGATATGGCTCAGAATAGAAGCCAGTGGCGATCCTGCTGTAACCTTTTACTTTCTTCGTAAAAAGTGGTTGTATCTTCCTTAACTGCAAGATTTCTTCTGGTTGTACCTCTCCGTTTCCCCTATTATTATTGTTATCACTATTATTATTATTATTATTATTATTGCACTATCTTGCACTAATCTGGTCGTTATTGTTCTTTTTTGTTTCTTTTACGCTCCTTACCTTCTTTTTTCTCTTCCCATTCTCATTGTTTTGTGTGGCGCATATATATTTGGTGCCCTCTTGTACCAATAATTATGTGTTTAAATAAATAAATTCTTTCACCTGTTAGTTGAGGTTTTAGCATTAGGAATTTACATTAATAAAATCACTACAGTCTATTTAATGATGTGCCATGAAATGTTATCATACATAATTTCAGTGTTGTACTTCGAGCGTTATTGTATTGGAGTTATGGGTGGGTTTTAATAACATATTTGTAATTAGGATAAAAAGTCAAACAAAATACATAAAAATTGCTTACTTTTATTCCTAGTTGTTTGATGGTATATATATATAGTTCATTCTTGGACCAAACCGGAACATGCAGTACAGAAATCAGTCAAGATAACACACTTCCTTTTCGGATTGCCAGTTCGATTCATGGAATCTTGCTAAAAAATGAAATAATAGCCAGTGTACGTAGAAACCGTTCACCTTGTTATCGAATAATCTTCAGTTGTTAGGACAGTTATTTATTTCTGTATTCAATAACGTAGTTGGGAGAAATATGTTTCTGTTATCGTTCCTCCTAAGAATTGATACATATCCAGAATTGTTTTGTTATATTAATAGTTCTCATGGGTTTTATGTATTTTTGATTATAAGTAAATGTAAATCATCTTTTTGTTTCACATCGCTACAGTCCTTACCATCACACAAAAGTAGAAGCAATACTAAAATAAATAGTGGAATATTTTAGTGTGTAAATGTTATAAAGGATGTTTCTTGTGATATGATTAAACAAAATTTTCTGCTGTCAAAATTAATGAATAGGATTCCAAACGAAAGATAAACGCAGTGAGGTAATGTAGCCGAGTGATGGCTACTCACGAGTTCGTATTGTTGATGTAGGTTTCGATGATCGGTAATTTCCAATGGTTCTCTAAATAGTCTAAATTAGATGTGAAAATGGCTTTCAAATTATTATGTTAACTAATTCCACTTGGGATAAATTTGTTACTATTTCTCTTGTGATGCAAATTTCATGTCTAATTGGGTTTTTCTACATCTTTTACTTTCGTGCATAGAGTTCAAGTTTCATAAGTATTTTTTATTGTATCTGCATTCTTTTTATTTTATTCACATTCAGTTCATCGTAACAGTCCGAAAAAGCGATGTTACTGTTTATCATCAAGTTCTGTCACCATTAACGAAACCTCCATCAAATGCCAAAAGATTAAAAAAGTGGAAATGGGGTTTTGATCCAGAAAACGGTCATTACGTTGGTTTATATCCTAGATCGTGGACAGTTTATGAAATACCTGAACTTCAACTTGTATTAGTTTGCCAACAGGTACGGAAAATTCAATGCAACATTAGATTTTAACGTTGATGTTTTCGGTTGATAGATAAAATACTTAAACGAATTTAATACCAGTCTAATATTTCATTTTATTGGTATATAGTTTAGATATCCTTGTAATTGTAATGAGTAGTGAGTTTGAAAGGAGTTTTAATCTGACTGTCTTTCAATACTGAAATTGACATTTTTTCTATTTTTTAAAAGTAGTGAAAGAAAAAACTAAATATAGGTGATATTGGCTCCACAAATAAATGACTTTTAGGATGTGTGCAAACATTTTTCATGTTGACATGTTTTTGTTTGGATTGGTTGAGGTTGAGCGTTAACCCTGTTGGATACCGGCTCAATGGTCTAGAGGTTAAGCGTTTACGCGCGAAACCAAAGGCCCTTGGTTCGAGTCGCGCGTGTGGTGTCTTGGATGCGCACTGCTGAGGAATTCCACACAAGGTTGAAACAGACATCCAGTGCTTCCAGGTTTGAATGGTAGTTTAACATTGATCGGTTCATGGTTTCAATTAAAATGCTCTTATTTGTTTTGTTGTAATTAACGCGAAATACTGTCATTTGATAACAATAAAGAGATCCACTTGAAACAAAGTTTCATTTGTAAATAAATGAAGTCATGTAATAATGACAAGAGTAATAAAGAATACAATTTTAATTATGGAGTAACTTATGTTGAATTTATTACCTTCAGTATTACATTTTATTCAAAACATAAGTTGCGGAAGGAAACATCGAAGGAAGCGGAGTAAATGGAGATAAAAAAGAACGCATGTATGGTATTCATTTCAGCTATTGTAAACTCACCATCACGAAGCAGTAAATGTATATAAATTTATCGTAACTTAGCCAACGTCTTGTAACTAGGTAGTCAAATTAGTAATGAAGTTGCTGCATCCTCTTTTAATTCTGATGTAAATGGGGCGAAAAGTTCACAGTTAATATCTTTTTTGATTAACGCATGACAAAACTGTTCATTGACTGACTGCGTGTCTGAATAACGGATTTTTCTATTTTATTTTCTGAAGAAACCCCATATGTTTTAGTTATTTTTATTCAGAACCCGTTACGTACCCAATTGGTACTTCATAATACACAATGATTTTAACTGGTGGCACATATTTTTACTGAATATCATACTGCACGTTATTTTTTCAAAAAAACATTGTAAGTATCAGTTCTTTCTTACAAATCTTGTTTATCTAGATATCCCCTGTTATACCGCATGACTATCAGGCAACATGTCTTCCGGTTGCTATATTCTATTGGAAAGTTATAAGCTGGAATAATGAAGATTTAAGAGTTACTATCACATTTTCATGGCATGGCCCTAATCCTCGTAAACGATCTAAATCAAGTGATGTTTCCAAATTTGAGAACGGGAATAACAGCAACGAAAATACTGCAAATACTCATGTTTCCACTTCGGGAAATGCTTCTCCAGTTTACTCTCAACGATCCACTGCTTTTTCTGCTGGTGATAATGTACTGGGATGCCTTTCAGAAAGAACTATTGGAGGTGAACTACCTTGTTGTTTTGGTATCGCAGCTAAATCAATGGACAAAGTAAGTTGCCCATCAATGTTTTCTCAATTCGTGAAGATTGAATTATGTATATTAGTACTTATTTTTGTAGTGTCATGCATCGAATCGTCCATTCAGTTTTCTTCAGGATTTCGACTACTTTCTAACCAGTCTACTCTTTATTCCATCTTTCGACAAATAATTTTAATTAACAACTCTCTTAGAAATATTCATTACATCAGTTTGGGGACATGGAAAGTATTTTATTGACTTTTTAATTCTCGATAGACTTTGATCTGATGTCAATATTTCGAACATTTTATTAGTTTTCGTGTTCATCTCTTAGATATCAGGCACGATCTTTTTCACCAAAAACAGTAAACTCTTTCCTGATTTTGGTTGAATGTTTGCTGTTTACGAAAATAAAGGACTCAGCGTTGTATATTCGTTGTTTATCATAATAGTCATTCCCACTAGGATATCTCTATTCATTTTTTAAAATTGAGTTGTCAGTCCAAAAGGTTAAAAATATCTAATAATCTGTCGTGGTTAGCTGACCTAAGAATAATTTTACTTAATGTTCAATTTCAATATATATACGTTAGATAATAGTTTTACCTATTGGGCTTAATATTTTGGTGCATCTCTCTTGTAGTTTGATCTTTTCGCTGCTTTTTATTTGAAAAGTGCATTAGTGCAATTTATGTGCATAGCCATAAAAACAAATCTTATCCCTGAATAACCTTAAATTTTCTTTGTACTTTCTCACTGAAGTCGTGTTATTCCATCAGTTGCTTAAGTAAAATTAATAGAATACCGAGTAGAATTTCTAAAAACCCTTTTTAAAACGGTTTACATCCTTTTTTGAGGTGATTTTTGACGTCGATTCCTAGAATATATTTTGGTTTTCTTCAAAGATAGTGTGTTTGACATTCTGAAATCTTCAAACATGTTATATGAACTCTGGATTTTTCTCGGTAATGTCTTTCCGGTTATAATTTGGTTAAGAGAAATAGAACTATAGATTCTACATGCTTTTAATTGGTGGTTACAGTTATCTTGCAGTGACTATTTTTCAACCTTTGATATGTTGCTCAACCATCTTACCTTCCATTTAACCGATGGTTTTATACTTTTTACGAATTCTGTTCTTCAATTGTATGATAATTTTTAATCCTAAATCTAGTAAATCAAGTTGTAATCGCATAAATTGTGTAGCGTATCTATTCCTTTTACGGAGTGCATGAATTTAATACAATCGTACGACATTTTTTTTGTGACCTATGAATTGTACTTTTTACCTAAAATTACTCAATACGATTTTCTTTGTAGTTTTTTGACAAGGGGTGGTATGATTTGTTCACTAAAATCTACGTTATTTTTTCTAAGGATATATTGATATATTGAATTTCAAATGAATGAAACAAATGTGTTTTGTTTCTAAGTGCTCTGAGGACAGAACGAGGCAAGATGCGTTTACCTATCCATGAGTTTGATTAACTACTTGAATGTTATATTGTGTATTAGAACCTAGTTTTGTTTGAAAATAATAGAACACTACTTTGTTTTTCTAAATGGCTTAGTGAAACTACCACTGGAATAGACGGATTAATCAAGTAAATATATTAGTCTTTAAGTATGATAACACAGTATCATCAAGTAATCTGACTAAAATACTAGGGAGGTTGTGTGATCTCAGCGCAAGGACATTAATACGTTGTTGATAACCATAGAGAAATCTTGTATTACAGTAGTTTCTGAAATGTTATCTCCCATAATCACCTGGCACTTAAATTAATCTGAAAACGATAAATTCAAAAAAGTTAATCAGGTTTTGAACCTTTAGATTTCACTTTTTTGCTGCTAAGTTTATTGAGTCCTGTAATGTTTGGTATCTGACGAACTATTGATAAGAATAGGAAGTGCACATTTTCTTATTATCGACTGGTGAAACAAAAGGCTCAAATTTCTTTGAGGGATTGCGCACGTTTATTCACTTCCCTGGGTGAGTAGTCTGATGAGCTTAATTAACTACCGAAAATCTGTCTCATTTAAATTCATTTTTCTGTAAATCTAGAGCTTATTGCATGATTCTACTCTCCTATTCTATTCGTTCTTTCCAAAGTGTATTTCTTACGTCTAACTTTACGCTGTAGTTAATACTACTGTTTTCCCTCCTCCTGTATTTGGTGTGATACGTGGATATATCTTCTTCCTGTCCTACTTTGCAGTTAATTGTAATTATTCCTAGTTTACGACCCAAAGTGCTTTCGTGCATGACACCAAAATTATGCTTTTAATATTGTCACGTTGGTAATCAGCTAAATAGTCGAATTTGTTGAATATGTTGCTTATTTAAATTCAATTTGTAAAAGATCGTTCTTCCGTAACTTTATTGTTTGTTTTCACTTGTCGTAAGGTCGAAGTGAGTCGGTGTCCAGGCTTTTGCTTTCACGATAAGGCGTTGCACGGTACCTTGTATGATTCCAGACAGAATCCTGAAGTTAGTGGCAATGGTCACTCAGATCTGATAACTTATCTTTCCTACACTAAAGCGCCATCTGCTTCACAATTCTGGAATAATCTTCAGTATGGTCAAATACCTCCCGATTTTCATTCAAGTATGAAAATTACTGTAAACTTTTATTAATTTTAGTGATATGTGTATCAAATACATTTAGTTAAAATAGTCACAGTTTTTTGCTAAAATTCATTTTTTTTGCGTATGAACTGACATCAGTTAATATAAAGTAATAGGAAAAAATATGTTGTTAGATTTATCGGTTACTTTATTTAAAACCTACTGGTAAAAGAAAACTGATTCTTAATATGGACTTAATCTATTACTGCTACTTCAACTCTTACACTTAATACAAAGTACACTGACGCATATGAAGTATACATTTTAGTCCCCTTTATGAAGTAATATGTTTGGTTTTTATGATACTTCAATAATAATAACACTCTGCAGTATCAAGTAATATATCTTATGACTTTGGGGATTGAGGAAATCTTCATCTTGGATACTGCTGCTAACTATACAACTTATCGTAACTGGATGGTATTTATACGGCTGTCAATTATTTTGAACGAATGTTTTCAAGTTCATCTACTTCTTGAAGTGTAGCCAAAAAATAGTTTTGTACAAACTAGATTAGCATGGTCTGTTAGTAGCTGTGGCTTTGGAAAAGAGTATAAATTCAAATAGGTGTCTTTCTGTTAATTTTCTTGTTAACTGTTTGACGTTTTGTACAAACAAAGACATATTCACAAAGACTTTCTGAATGAAATTAATGTGGTTTTTATGCTGAAAGGGCGTTTAAATTGTGCTTTTTGCTACTGAGTCGTTAGAAATTAAATAAATATGAAATGATTTCATCCTTTTTTGATTACTTTATTGCTTTTTTTTACGCTCAGTTCCTCTGCTCAATGAATACCCCAGATTTTTATTTCCTTTTGTGATATCTCTACTCACATTTTACTTAAAGTTTCTTTAAATATCACCATGAAGATCTAATCTTGATGTTTTTTTTAATTTTTGAGCTAATTAGTAGTCTCTATACTCGGATGTCGTCTACTTTATGCGAGGGTTCACTATCTTTCTCTTTTTAGTTGGTTATACCGTGCCACTGGATTCTGAAGCCAAGAAATCACCCAAACTAGCAATTGCTGTAAGCGCCACAACTAATGTACCCGATGCAACATCGCTAATAATCTTAATCCTAGTCAAAGCGAACTTGAATTTGCCATCACTTGGCATTCTCCAATAGTAAAATTTCGAACAGGTGACGTTGTTTATACTCGGTACGTAAATTTATTTTGTTTTTCAGTTCGTTTGATGATGGTTTATAAAAAGTTATGTTTTTCATCTACAATGTCGATAATAGTTAATATCTACGACTGATTCTAAAGTTTCAAATCCAGTCGTTGTTTTACTTATTGCAAAATTTAAATACTTTGCAACATATTTTATTCAATCCAATTTTTATGCAGTAGTTATTCAATATTTGTTTGTTTGCAGAATATATTATATTATATTATATATATATATATATATATATATATATATATATATATATATATATATATATTATTAGTGATACCGTAATGAAGGCCAAGTTTTTGTAACATATATCAGTCACTTATCAGCCACTGCTTTATTATTTCCGTGGTTGCACCAGGGTATCATATGATCATTTTGAAAGGCACGTTTATTCCTAGCTTAAACAGTAAAAACTCTTCTTATTTAATTTTGTTTCCCATCTATTGAGAAGTTTATGTTGAAATCGCCTCTTGAGGAATTGAGTTCAGTTATGAATCACAGTTATACTTAAATTAAGTCCATTGATATAGTTAATATAATCGAATCTTTTAAATCACTTTGTCCATGACAGTCCAAAATCTTTGAAAGGACTTGCACCTTCTACTTTTCTTTTAATATGTTACTTCATTTTATGCTTACCGAAGTTGTAGTAGCATTATTTTTTCTAAAACTATTAAACTCTCTATTATAAAAGACCAATATTTCCTCTATTGCAAACAATGATACTTAACGCTTCGAGTGTTGTTCCCCTATATATCGTCAATTCATTCAAGGCTTGTACTAGTCGTAAGGTTAGTACTCATTCTCGACCTTAGACTTGGAAACACCAATATCTAATTTTTGTGGTTTTTATAATGTTGGGGAAGCTTTGTTTAATTAAACAAAGCACTATTCACAAGTTTATATTCCCATAGAATGTACATGATCAGTTTGCTTGAATGGATTAAAGTTTTGACTAAACAGCCCACTGTTCTTAGTTTATTCAGAATATAAATATCGGTATTAAATTACTGTTGTTTCAAAATATGTGCATAAATTCAGAGACCTTTTCACTGTAATGTAGATTTTTATGTTGGTGATTTAACTGATGTCGTGCATTCCCTCTATGTTTTTAAAAAATTTCACAGTCGATATGTTCGTTGGTTTCCTGTTGACGGAATACCTGGAGCTAAGTTGCTACTAAAACATGCAATAGATAATTGGAGGCAATGGGTCCAGAAAATTGAGGATTGGCAAAATCCTATTCTTAACAACCAGTAAGTTTTTGTATTCTCTCATGTTAGATATCGGATCTTGGTGGAGAACGTTTAAAGTAAAATTTTTCTGTTGTTTTCGCGCTTATCACGCCTATCTCATCTGTAAATGTATTGTTGAATTAAATTGAAATAAATTATCTCGACTTTGTTAAGGTCACTGATATATTGCTTGATTTTTTATTTCCCTTCAAGTTTCTGGACTTGGGAAACAATTTTTTCATCAATTGGTATCGTTTCTGCTCACAGATGCGTTGATTTCTTTATTCTAATTTATTTTAACACATAGATATTGGTACAAGGAGGCACCAAATACATATGCGTCACACAAATCTCATTCGATATGTGTGAGTGCTGTGGTACTGCCCGAGTGCCCAAACCGAAACAGGTGGTTTTCTTAAGTGGCCACTCCCGGAGCCTTCGACCTGAAGGTCTGATCCACAAGGCAGTGGAGCATCGTAAGGAGATGCATTCCCATGGAAGTCGGTGACCAACGATTGGTTCATACGCTATTTGTTCCCGCAGGATACTGGAGCTCATGTGCACCATTGATTTGGAATCCGGTTAAGCGCCGGACATTCGCTTTTCGTCCTCTCATTTTCGTAAACAACACCCGTGGTGCGAGACGGCAGTGAGTAGGACTTCCCTGGCAGAGGCTATATACGCGTGGCTATGTGAGAGCATTTCGAGAGGGAGAGCGGACTCTCCCCACTCTCGGCCGTACCAGGGGATTCGGGGGTTGAAGCATTATTTGTGTGTGTTGGAACCGTTGAATAATGATCAATGTTAAGGTAAAACTCTAAGTATTAGGTTAGAATGCCACATCAGTTAATGAAATGAGATTGGTTTCATTCATTCGGTAGTTTCTCTTTGGTTCTGAATTACTACAGATATTATTTATTGTTGATATTTCACTTCCTGTTGTTGTAACAGTCTTGTTCTGACGTACGTTTGAGCATGATTCCATGTTGTTTATATGAACCTAATGGTTGCATCTAATTTTTTGGTTAATACTTGTACAAGATGACGATGCTTAAATAAGTAGTCTTACTTTTAATTGTATGTCTTGTTTCAAACTATTTATTCATTGTTGTTGCGTGTTATTAACTCTCTGATGTCATATTAATTATTACCACGAATTATTGGTTTGATGTTCTACATACTTCGGCGATATATGTATTGATGTAATATGGATCATAATCAGTACGTCATGGTTCTTCTAAGCAATTATTAATTCTAAATTATTTAATTTTCTGCTCTCCTCAATTGACTGAGTATAGCTCTCATGATAATGTGAAATGTAATGAATAGTGCGTGAAAAACTGTATTTAGTTAAGCAATATATATTTAAGTACTCTCGTAATTTTAATATTACTGTATTGTGATTCATAAACATTTTTTCTTATGTCATAAATGTCATCACAACTGTAACCATTGGGTATTGCGTTCTATATCATTGATTTGATGACATTTTGTTCTGCTTAATAAAATCATTTCTTTATCCCATACAGATCGCTTCCAAATTGGTATAAGTCTGCTTTATTCAATGAATTATATTATCTTAGTGATGGTGGAACTGTATGGCTAGATCCAATTCAAGTTGATTGTTTTAAATCAGATCTGCTAAATTGTATACCACTAGACCTTGTACGAAGTTACAAAAATGGTGTAGATCTAGACCCGTATAAGTTAACTGGTCGCAAAATTAAAACTCCAACTACAGTAACTGAAGATATGAAAGTCGACTCTTGGGATCATCGTGCTAGATTATCACGTGAAATAGGTTTATTTGGATATCTTGAAGGTAGGTAATAAGTTAATTGTTTACATGAAACGATTTTTCACAGTTGTTTTCAAAATATTTACTTTTAGATCGAGTGGGAGGCAAGAACTTCTGAGGTTTATATTAAGCATCACCCTGTGCATTTAAGATTACTTGTTTAATCGTCTACTCGTTCACTAATTAAAAACGTACCATTCGCCTAAGTTGATTTGTTAAGAATGAGTTTCTAACATATGTAAATTTCTTAGGAATAATTCGCATTCGCTTTTAAAAGTGGTAGGATTTATATTGATTCATGTGTCTGTAATTGGATGTTGAAATTTACTTTCCGCTGACAATTCGCACATTTCACATTGATTTGCTGTAATGTGTCTTAAATTACCCTTTTAGAACCAACTAGATTTTGGTTTTTGGTTTCCACTTCAATCAAATCATTTGTTTCACATTTTAACCTGCTACTATGCTGTAAATGCTTTTCACTAAGTGATTTGTTATCTGAACTTTGCGTACATTCACCAAAGTTACGTACACTAGGATTCTAGCCATCACTGCAAGCTTCCTCAGTAGTCTGAAGTTCTTATTAGGTGTTTATTTGTTGATCAATGACAAAATGTCATTTTAAAACGATGTTCAATAATCTCATACAAAAAATGAAGAAAATAATAAAATAAACGGCTAGAACAAACTTAAAAATTCTGTAACATATTCTGAAGAAATATCACCTCTAAAGTTGAATTCTCATAAATTTCATGAATATTGTTTGTACAATAGCACATTAGTGGCATTCTCAATCAATTTTTAATATAATTCTCCAGCTGGTTCAAGTTTTGTGCTCGTCTAATTATTTTTAGATTCTTCATTTCATTTTATATTTTAGGTCATGAATATCGAATGTACAATACATATGATGTACATCATGATGCATCATGGGCCTTAATCAAATTATGGCCTAAAATACAACTGGCTTTAAATTATGATTGTGCCGATTTGGCTATCGCTGAAGACTCAACTTCAGTCTATTACATTTATAATGGGAAAAAGCTATCCAGAAGTTCCGAGTGTGCGGTTGTTCATGATTTTGGTGATCCGGAAGATGAACCTTGGCGATGCACTAATGCCTACATAATGTTTCCTACTGATAAATGGAAAGATTTGAATTCGAAATTCATCTTACAAGTTTGGCGCGATTGGCGTATTACACAAGACCATCAATATTTATTGTATATGCTTCCTATCGTTTTGGTAAGCTTTTCCTGTGCATATTCATTGTGTATTCACTAGTAGCAGTCGAATAAAAACATAGTATTTAGTAATGGATTTATTTTAAGTCATGGAATATTTTGCATAATAATCTCAGTATCTATTCAACATACCGGTAATGATAAAAAACTGATGTTTGACACCACTTATCGTCATATTCTTCTACTTTTTTTATCAGCACAGTTTACAGGTCTAATAATAAGGACATTTCTTCGTTTTTTCATAAATGTGTTCACCAGATACATGGCTTTGAACCACAATCTAAGGGTAAGGGCCAGCAATACTGCTCAGTTGCCCAAACTGAAGTGGTCAGGGATAGTTTTCGAACCTAGGACTGGGTGACTGATAATTAAATGCCTTAGTAAATGAACCACCACGCCACTAACTGCAGAATTACCTTAAAAATGGTAAAAAAATTAATTACCAAATGTTACAGTCATCGTGTGAATCAACTTTCCTTTCAGAATAAATTTAGTTGTGAATGCTTTAACATTTTTATTGTCCCAAATTATCCCATACTGAAAAGTACTTTTGTAACTACATACTAAACGTAATCTTTGCAAGACACCAAAATTTGTAATTAGATTTCACTATAAACAAAGGTCACATATTACTATGAAATACAAAACTAATTTAAAACAGAGGTCTTATTTTACTAACGAATGATATTTCAAACTATAACAATTTATAATAATCGTCCCTCTTTTAGTTTCTATTCGTTTCTCATTCTCTTGCTTCCCAACAAAACATCATATTCACATTCTTCTAATGCCGATTATAAGAAGGTGCTTTTAATTATACTTAGGAATCGTCATAATAAATTAGGACAAATAAATTGTGTCTGCAGGTAGTTAAACTTCATAAGATCCGAATAAATTTTAGAGCTTATTTGTTTCGATTTCCAGTAAAAATCTGTTGGTCTTTTGACTAATGAGATAAATTACTTATGTGAAGCTGTATTAATATTTATTAGTAATGAAATTATTTGAACTATTTCAGTCAGTTATCATCAATATAGGGCCCGGTATATATGTTCTGTGACTCATGCTTCCGTACTCCATTAGCGCGACGAGATAAATGTAAGATGAAAAACAAAAAAGATTGAAATAATATTGCGCTAATGATAGTGAGAAAGACTGAACACTGGGAATTCGGTTCGAATGGACAAAATGGAAGGATTACTGGAATTTAGGATCGAGTAAAAAGTAATTCGTAAATGCACTTGTATTATTATGATCGATCCTGAACCATGTCACTAAAACAGCGTGGTCTGAGTCATTTACCAGGTACAGATCCGTGTACTTAATTCTGAGCTACATTGTTGATGTAAGATTTAGTGATGCTGCCCGTTTGCCAAAACCAAAGTAAATGTGGAGGGGTTTAATCCTGTGACTTACTGGCTAAAAGTCAAACTTTTTAATTATTGAGCCACCTTTTCACATTTAGATAGCCGACCAATATACGTTGTTGGCATATTTCTTGTATTGTTTATGCTTCGTTGATCTCTCTTAATGGTAGACATTTATCTTGTCAGAAAAACATTACAAAATTATTTAAGAAACAGACAAACACATGGTGAGTGTTACATTCTTATTCAAACAGACGAAAATGAACGTTAAAGTATCTGATCTAATATGGAATATAGTTAATTGTTTGTTCTAAAACAACATTATGAAAAATGATCAAATCCATTTACTTAATTCTTATAAACTATGTATATTTGTAAATTCACTTGATATTATTTGTTTGTATCTTCCGATTGTTGTTGATACAAGCAAATAATATCAAGTGAATTTAAACCTCAGCCCATTGTACAAGCAGGGGGCTATCAGGACTCAGTAGCCAAGTGGATAACGCGACGGTATTTGAAGCGAACGGTACTGGGTTCGAGGCCCAGAGTAAAAATTAGCTCTGAGATGCACGTACATCCAACTGATGAGTCCCAAATAGGACGAAACGCGTGTCTTGGATTCCACTGCTAGCCATCACCTATCTTCGCTTATGTATATTTGTTGTCATAACTATAGAATTTAATTAGAAAGCCAAGTAGTACTTCATATTGATGGAAAACATATGGTAAATATGTACATAATTTACAAACTAACAAAAGAATAATTTAGGAAGTAATCGTAAATCAGTTTACAGGTGTGGTTCGCTCAATTTTTCTAGTTTATGTTATGTTTTTCGATAATGTTTTACAGAGATCTTCACAATTTCGCATGCGTATTTCGTTTCAGCTGCACAAAAGCTTTTATTTGATCATTTATTGTTTATACTTTTGTGTAAAAACATAGGTACACCTGTTTGTACGTCTTCAAATTTTGTATTTATTTTGTCACAAGCTAATATTATTGTACACCACTGAGCGTTTAACAACTTCCTATTTCGGAACCCCACATTCAAGAACTTCACTTAATGATCACGTCTCATTGTGAGCCAAATAATATCAACCCTACTGAGTTTGGATCTAATGATCCATATTTTGAAATTCAATCGGTTTGTGATATATATCTGTTTAATACTCCTTGGTTCTCAATAGTTCTCCAGTTGAGATAAGATCATCATGAAGTTCATTTTTGGAATATTTAAAAGTTTTTGCGAAACTAACTTAATTCATTATTTAGTGTACATTGACAGTTTATCGAAATAATCTTCAGTATGATCCCTTTCTCAACAATACATATATGACTTTTCTTTATATACAACGGTTTAATCTTCCACGTAACTTCTGTAATCGTCCTCATAATAAGTGTTTACCTCAATTTTGAAACAAACTTTCACTTCACCTCTGATTTATTTGTTGAAAGTAATTATTACAGTGTAATACTTCTACTTGGCTAGTCATTAGAGGTCACGTTAACTTTTTTTGTTGTAAACTTAGCAAAATAATTTATTGCTTCCCTCTTTACTGTTGACATTTAAGGTTATGAGATGATGGAGATTTGTTGCTCAGGTAGATGATTCTGATAGGGTTTTATTCTCTGAGCTGGTTGGTTTGGTTGTGACATCATCAGCACAAACTCCAGGTAGAAGCGAAGTGTTCGAATTTCTTCTCATATGACTCACAGCTTGTCCTATAGACCTCGATGTTGGTTGGCTATTGTTGACCTGTCATTATTTACTTCTTTATTTTGATGGTATCTCCGATCGGTTTGGTTTTTGGTCCTATATTTGTCCATAATTTTCCTGATTGGTTGATATATTTGGATCGATTTCAATGTGTTGGTTGATTGCCGGCTGATCTGAGTCCCAAGCTGCTAAACATTCTCTGGTGTTTGCCTCTGTTCAAGATCTCAAAAGTTTTCCAGTCGAATGTGTATCCACATGCATTGATATAAGTGAGGATATGTCGTGGCGTTTGACCGTTAGTTGATATTCATGAAGGCGAAGACGAAGAGGGCGTCCACTTTGTCCGATGTGTTTTTCGCAGTTGGAACAATTTATTTTGTAGATTATGTTCAGTTTTTCTTCTTTTGTCATTTCACCTTTGGTTTGCATAGAAGTGATTGCACTAATTTTGTTGATTTATGTGCTAAACCTATTCTGAAAGGCTTCAACAATCTCATTGTAGTTTTTGATATGCCTTTTATATACGGTAGGATGATCCGTTTTTTGGTTTCTGTATTTGACCTTGTTTCTGATTATGCGTTTGGCTGGTAATTTTTGATGAAGTTGGTTGGGTAGCCATTCTTTTGAAAGATGGTCTTCAGGTATTTTTCTTCATTTTTTCGCGCTGTAATTGTGTTGCAGTGTGTACTCGCCCTCTTGAACAGAGTTTACACGCAGTTGATTTCGTGAGATCTTGGGATGTTGCTATTGTAATTGAACCAAGCTTAGCAAAGGGAACTATCCCTGCTTCTCACGAACGACACAAATCTCTCAAAGTACACGAAGCTTCGAGGTCAAAGTTTACTAGAGCTCATCGATTTAGGCTTAACAACATATCTTCAATGAAGGGTCAGAAACTCAACGATAAGACAAGTTTAACTATTTCGATGCCTCCCAGCCCTTCAAGCTAGAGAGAGAAGACCAGTTTGCAAGAGGGAAAGGTATATTGCACAAGCAACCAAAAGCACGGACAAACCAATGGCATTTAAGGTCCTTTCAAGTGGAAAATACGATCTGAAAGTAAAATTGGACGCTTTGGCACGACAACGAGAACTTCAAATTTCCAATATAAAATTACAGAAATAAGACGTTTACCAAGTGATTTCTGGGAATCCAGCATCGCCAACTATAATACGTATGAAATATCTTGCGAGGCACAAGATTTTTAAAAGTTTTTTGTACTCTATAGCAGTCTATTAATTAGAAAGTATAATTGTTTCAGTCGTATTTCAGTAATAAGTCTATTTTAAAATGAAAGGAATGCAATAGACTACTTTAAACAATCCTCATCCGACTTTTCGTGAATTCACTGCTGATTTTGGAGTTTTATTTTAAATTTATTTGTCTGACTGACCTCAAACTGTTTTTTGAATATTCACCTCAAAACAAAAAACATTGTAGTATAATTAATTTTCTGAGATCTGATGTTTTTTGGTCACCAAATTTTTCCAACCTTTTGTTGTTTGAAAGCTGTTCAGTAAGTTTTATTTTTATGTTTATATTTATCAAAAAACACCAATTTATTGCGTCAAAAATTTTCTACTATTCAAAGTTTTATTTTATAAAATCTTGAGATTAACCTTTAGTTGATAGCTCTAATTTCTTTTCTATTTTTATAGAGAATTCTGAGGAAGTCTTTGGTAGCATGGGATTCTGATGATGACGGACTAATTGAGAATTCAGGCTTTCCTGATCAAACATATGACGTATGGACTGCAAAAGGCTTAACGTAAGTTCCCAATAACACTTACTAAACCAGTCCTCATTCCCATGTGAATCATTTTCAGACTTAACAATAAAGTATTTCATTTCTAATAATTCCTAGTGTTTGAAATTAATTAGACGTAATTTGTTTGTCCTCTTTTTTGGAAATTCTCATCTGTATACAATTAAAGTTGATGATAAAACAAAATATCCACCCACTGTCCAGTAGATGTAATTGGTTATCCAGCATTTTCAATTCTTAATGAAGAACTACTTACAAATAGAATGTAATTTTTAAAAACCTCATCTTACTATTTTCAAACTAAAATATATTACTACTCCTATCGTTCAGATTTAGGATAACAGGTCTCGAATTTTGCATGAAATTTATCCATTCATTTGGCTAAATAGCATTTTGGCATTTTAGCTGATGTCAGTTCGTGATGAAAACCCTAAATCTAGTTCCTAACTTTAACCATTAACTGTAAGTCGTAATTTTAATTCCTCACTCTGATATATAACCCTCCTTTAGTTCTAGTTGGTACGTGGACATTCTCAAAGTCACTTTTGCGTCGCTCATAGTCTCACCTTTCTTCCCTCAATTTTATGGAGCTGAAAAATGTTTCCCTTGTTCTTCATACGTAACATAATTCTACAAGGCTGATGTGTGTACCGACAGTTTCATTAAGCGAAAACAAGTTTTAATTGGAAAGGCCATTTGGATTTGCATAGATTCTTATATGATCATAGAGATCAATGAAATCTCAGTTTGGAAAGTTCGCTTGGGATTTTCGGATACATACTGTGTCCAGTTATCGTATCTGAATTCTTGTCAACGTTTATGTACGTAACAACAAAATTAATTATCTTATACCATAACTGCAATAACTGAGAGTAATAGAGTTCAATAATCAGATTCCTCACAATATTTGTTATGTGTGATAAAACCACACTGTTTGATATATCAGTTTTAGGTGTGGATATTTTTCAGAGAGCGATGGTTGTTTTATCGAATACTCACATTACGCTGATTTTAGTTGTTTGAGGTGTATGTTACGCATAACTAATCATTACTTACTTCGAATTGTGATGGCTAGATCCAAATTATGACATATTGGACCATACGCATTCATTTCTTACGTCCTCAGTCCGTGACCCCTCCGTACATATCTGTTGTTTGTTCTATTACATACATATTTTTGTTGATTTTATTTTTTCAGGTTTGTTTCGAGATGTGAATGCCTAGTTTGACACATTATCGTACAAAGTTATACTTTTTTATTGTTCTTTCAAAATGTGGAGGTCTACCTGGATAATTTGCTACAAACGAGTTCACTAACGCACCTACTTATCCGTGATTATTAGTAGTATAGTATGCAGTCTTAGAAAATTTAGAGATATCGACTTCAGATCGTTATACTTCATGTGCCACTTTATCTAACAGAAACTAAAAAGGATCATCGATGTGTAGGAACGGTTGATTTAGTTTCAGAGCCGGACACTGAAATATTTAGCAAACTGTTCAAATGGTTTGTTATTTCTCAAAAATATGAATGAATAACTGTTGGATTGTGTGAACTCTGAAGATGTCTGATTCATCCTGAACGAAATTAATAGCTCTACCAGACATTTATATTTTGGAATATTGGTAGGTTTTGATGTGATTTCTACGAGGTCATTCAGTTATAAAACCTTGTGTTTAGCTACCTTTCAGCCTGATTATAAGACACACCACCTGTATTTTCTAGCCTTTTTAATTCCCCTATTATGGGAATGATTTTTAGGAGGACTATGGTGTTGTTTTGTTCATCTCCATGGTTGTTTCAGTCATGAAGCCTTAATCGTCTTGCCATAAATGATTATGAAGATAGATTTCAATTGAATGAAAATTCATTGTACTTATATAAAATGTGACTAATTGTTCTTAGTAAATCTGATGCCGGTTTCAGACATGTATTTGAATTATTTGTTAAATCTAAATCAACATATTTTTGGGTGTTTTTAGCACACCAAGCTTTCAGGAGAGTCGTTTTCCTCTTTCTCTTTTAGTAAAATAGCTGTTTCAAGCATTCGTACGACATATCCGCTCCTTTATGTGTCACATTTAATTGCATGAGCTTTTATTCCACACATCAAACGTAACTGTTGTTAATATGATAGCTTTCGGGATATTTCAGAACAATACATAATGTTCTTGTATGTTTAACTTATTCGTAATTACTTAGATGCGAATTATTTAAATGATTGACAGGATTTTACTCGTTTGAGTATTTTTGTGGATAGTTAACGTTTTGAGTTGACTATACTGTAACATCAGGCATAACTGACACTTTTGTAACTTAATTATATATTATCTGAGTTTTTTTAATGCTTTTGTACCATTCTTTAGTGCTTACACTGGTGGCATATGGCTCTCTTGTCTATATGCTACATTTGATATGCTCTCTTGGTGTTTAAAAAGTGATTCACCTGTATATGATCAAATAATTAATAATACAGATGATACTCAACGTTCTTGGAGTGAAGTTAAAGATGAAATTCAGGCATTATTCACTAAAGCACGTGATTCATACAATGCCAAACTATGGACAGGTAGATAGTTTTAATTTTCACGTAAAATAATTTCTCTACTTTACTGAAGAAAAATATTCGATCTAAAGTGGTTGTTAGTTTCTCAGTTTTGACTAAATACTCTTTACACTGTTAAGCTGTATGACTATCATAACTCATCTGTATTATTGTTTTTGATTATGCGACTTGAGTAGTAGACTTATGATTTATAAATTACTTAATTCCAAAAATAGTACCACCTACAGAGTGTATATATTACTGTACACCTGTTTGTATTCATAACTAAGGATTATGATTAGTTAAGGAATTATCTTTAAAGATTCATGTATTGAACGTGAAGTTTTTTAAGACTTTAATTTAATGTATTTCTAGTTCTCTGCTAATCACTGTATTTTAAAATCATATTTTTACCACAGAAATGTCTTTTTATTTTAACATACTGACTTACCTTTCTTATTCATTTATTCTTTATGATTTAGTGTGTATAAAATGTAGACTAATATGGTAGGTATCATCACCACGATTTGACTTGATAATTTCAAATAAATTGAGCATTGGTTAGATTGTTACCAATAAAAATAATGTACTTGTAACATCCCAGTTAGTAGGAAAATCAAATTGTGTTATTTGCAAATTAGAGAGGTCACTTAATAAAGTTCAGAGTGATTTGGAGTAAAGTGCCCAGTCACAATTAGCATAATAGTAATATAGCAAAAATGAAAATGCAAAAAATCGTGTGAATAAATGCATAGTAGGAGAATTTCATCTTGTCGATTGAGATAATAATGATAATAATAATAATTTTGCTGTGTGAATATAATATGTAATAAAAGGTGGGTTATCATGGTAATTACGATAAATAAATAAAAAGATTTCATGTCAATTGGGAATGATGGATATGAAGATTAAGATAGATGTCATAAAAAAAACGGGAAGGGGGGTAAGGGATTTATATAATATTCAGTTTATGTATCCGGTGGTTAAATAGTATAGTTGCTTTGGCGGTAAGATATAACTAAGAAACGATATGTCTGTTTTCAGTTCTAGAAACGTCTAAGGAAAGTCTTAAATAGACGCAAGAAGTCCGGGTCTTATTTTCTAACATATGAAGAGATCACGCTTATTGTTCTGGATAATAATCACTGCGTAAAATTACATGTCTTTTATATATAGAAGGCAATAATTTTACAAAAAATATAAATCCTATCCAATAGTTACAAAAATCTCCAGAAGTAATCGACTTCCGTTCCTCTGTCAATAAAATTTTAAAAAATGCTGAAGTATGTTTAGCAAGTGTAGTTGGTGTCTTCACTGCTGAAGTCAAAAAAAGATATGTAAAAGACAGATTGAATGTGATTCAACATATCAGTCTATCTTTTATTCGTTGACATGTAAGCTATCGGTAACTATCCATACCCTGTACTAAAAACAGAAACCAAGCTTCATCTACACCAATGAACATCTTGTGAACTTGACGGATTACTCTCTTATTGATAACTTCTGCACAATCCATTACAAAGTTATACTAAATCTGTTCAAGGATTCCGACATGTATATATAGTCGAAACATTTGAAATCTGTGGTTTAAACCTGAGCGTGTCGACCGCTTCACTTATCTGGGAAGTTTCATCAGCCCTTGTGGTCTGGTGTGTGACGAAATCTCAGCACGGATACAGAAGACTCGACTAGTTTTGCCAACTTGCGTCATTTATGGCGTAGGTGAGATATCCGTCTATCAACCAAAGGACGTGTTTACTGCGCATCGGTTCTTTCTGTCCTACTTTATGGCAGTGAAACATGGCCGGTAAGAGTAGAGGATATTCGTAGGTTACTAGTATTTGATCATAGGTGTCTTCGAAATATTGCTCGTATATCGTGGGACCATCGAGTAAGTAATGCAGTTGTTAGGAAACGGGTACTAGGTGAGGATGGCAAATCAATTGATGAAGTAGTGAAACTTCATCAGTTGAAATGACTGTGACACATGTTACGTATGCCCAACCACCGACTGCACCGAGGTGCGATGTTTTATGGTGTTGGAGTAGGTTGGAAGAAAGGTAGGGGCTGCCAGACCAAAACATGACACAAATCCATGAAGTCACTGACAAGTGGACTGAGCCATGTTGGCAGGTGTAGACTACTTGGTTGGAGACCGCGAGATGATAGCAACCGATGGTTAGAGACCCTGAATGACATGGCTCAAAATCGTTTGCAATGGTGCAGGTGCATCCTTTCTTTGTGTTATCCTAAATTCTTATCTTCTGAATTCTTCATGTCCTTTTTTTTTCCAAATTTATTTCACTGTATTATACTCCTTGAGTAACATCTTCAAACCGCGATCTTACCGATTACTGCTCATACTCTCACTACTTCTCCCACTGTGGGATTTTAATCGACAACTGCATCTCTGTGATAATGTGGTATGGCAACTCGAACTGATGTACGTACGTACGATGTTCTACGTTGTTACTGACTGACTGATTTAAACCCTACTTTTGTGCTCAAAAACAGTATACGTGAGCTGTTTTTTCTCACACATACACCAACATGGAGTGAGGCTGGACGCGATGTATTAGGGAACAATAGTGAATCATTTGATGAGGTTGCAAATCTTCATCAACTGAGATGGTTCGGCAACGTGTTTCGTATGCCTGAACTCCGATTATGACAATGCGCAATGCTGACTAGTGTTGGAGACAGTTGGACGGAAGTCAGGGCTGCCAAACTAAAACGTGGCATCGATCCTTAAAGTCACTAATTTCTAGTCTTAGTTATATTGGTAGGTGCAGACTACTTGGATGGGGTTCGCGTGACTATCGTAACCAGTGGTTGGAGACTGTGTGACATGGCTCAGAATCGATCACAATGGCGTAGGTGTATATACTCTCTATCTTCCCTTAAACTGTGAGATTAAAATTGCTTTATATCTTTCTGCCTACGAACTAATTTTTATTTTCTGTACTATCTCCTTATACACAATCTTTTTTTTACATATTACTACCATTGAAGTAACTACTTGTATGAATTCGGTGTTCATCTTATTGTGCTAATGAAGTATGGCAAATTGGACCGATACATATGTGTGCCTGGTCCTACTTTGTAGCTGACTGACATGGAGTTTCACATTTACGTAAAATCACTTTCTTATGTAGTCAATCATAAAGAAAATAGTATATACTCTATCGACCGATATTATATTCGGTAAGGTGTATACAACTTTAATCATTAAAAGAAAAGATCTTACGATCATGGTCTAATGTTTGTTGTATTAGCACGTATATGTAGTTCGTGCAAATACTATTACTAACAGTATTAGTAGTAGCATTACTATTATTATTATAGCGATCGGTAACTGTGAATCATTTCTTTATAACCATGGAATTATATGGTTAAGAAATTTTAAGGAATGTGTAGCATAAAAATACTTGTTTGTAGTCTTCTAAGCTAATTAAATCACCGTAAATAATAATTGAATAATACTACTAACAGTAATTTATTATAATTCAGTGAAGATGAAAAGTTTGGATTAAGCAGGTCATAGCTATCTACTCTTTTATGTTAAATGATCAATACATGACGTTCACTAACAGCGAGTAATGAGTCTTCTCTATTACCAACATTTTACTCAAATTATAGTTTTTTTTTAAAATGTCAGGACTGTTTATTATTTCACTATTACCAACGTGATTGTGTTATACATATTTGTAACGTAGATTTTATTATTACTAGTTAAGAAAAACTATTATAAATTGCGCTGTGATTTTGCAATCTAACTGTTAAAATTTATCTATCAGTGTTCAATGATACTTCTAGTAGTAGTCACTTTCGAATCAAAGTGTTTCCTGTTAACTGAAATTTCAAAATAATTCCTTATTACATGAAATTAAACACTGGGTTGATGTTATCTTCTTGTTCCAAATTAAAGCTGGAAAAAATGTAATGAATGATTGAGTATAATAACAGAGTTGGAAGGTTTAGATATCCTTCAAAGTTTACACGAGTAAATGAGAAAAGATTCTAGTAATATCGCACTGTTTTAGTGTGAGTTTCTATAAGTTCATAAACTGGCTTTTGATTAAAGTATATAACCCCTATGTAATATGAGTTCTCACACGTTTTGATGTACTAAAAAAGATTGGTCTGACAGAACTACCCTAACCTCATTTCAGCTTATACGATGGTCGAGTCCTAATACTCGTATTGAGGCACTTTCACGTTGTTTGCCTTTGTTTTACAGTAATCAGTCTTATTTACTAAATCCGCTTAAATATTTATGAAATAAAATGAACCAATTCCTCCCACTATTTATGTTAAGTCCACATAGCCTCTTACTGTCTTAGTAAGGCTGTAATGAACAAGGGTACCAGTGGCGAAAAATCGGATGTATTTGAAAGGAAATTACAGTTGTTAATAAAATCTAACAACCATATCGTAAATGCTCAATTTGCAAAATGACTATTAATTGTCTCACAATGACTCAGACTTCATTGTTCTTGCATTTTCATACAAATTGCATTCTGTTTCCATTCTTTACTGCTTGATCCTCTTGTCTTTGCTGCTAGACATTCTGTTCCTGAGTAACGTCATATACTACGTATGTCAATATAAGTAGCACACACCGCAAGACTACTACCTGTTTGCATGATGTAAAATACATCAATGCTTCTCCTAGTTACAAACCGATTGAGTGACTATACGTTTTCAACATTAAGGTGACATGACATTTCTTCGAGTAGCACATCTACGCCATTGCTGTATGCTGTTTTTGACTTGTATCAAAAATGCTACTAGATGCATGGTTACTAATGGATGATAGAATCTAGATTCTTGGCTCATAGTATTTCATAAAGTCTGATTTTTCGTCTACTATTAAAGGTTCAGTTAATATCGATGATCAATAAATAAAGGTAGTCAAAGGATGCCACTTCATTGGTAAGTTTACTGATGTATTTCTTTTCAGTTTAGGAGTTTCAAACTTTTCTCTCTTTTTACTCTTAAGGTTCGTATTACGCTTTCCAAACACACTGTACTCGTAGACGTGAAGTTATTATGGCCGGTCAGTTAAGCGGATATTGGTTTTCCCGTATCACTGGAGTTCCGCCGAACTTGGTATGTTTCGGAAAGTAAAATTAACCGTCACTTGCTAAGGAAATCACATTTAGCATTAAGTCTCATCGTGACTATGTTAACTTAGGACCGTTGAAATTTCAGTTACTGGGAACCAATCTATCAATAAAGAGCAGTAGACTTTAAATCGAATCGATTCCTAGTCGTACAAACTGTCCATTTATTTCGTGATAACTGTTTTCTTTCATGTATTTAGATATTTTTGATGCTTCCGATGTGTGCGTAAAATGTAGTGTTAGAGGGATTTGGTTTTACAAAAAACATGATGTACATTGTGATACAGAACATTTGTAGCTCAGAATTAGGATTTTGGTGTTTTGTTCTTTGAACTGGATGGTTTATTCAACAGTTAAGTGATGAACAACTGATAAACGACAGTCCAGAGTAGAGGTGAGAACTTACCATGTGATCAGACAAAGAATCGACATATATTTATAGATAAGATCTAACCAAATTCCAAATCAACGGAATAGGTTGTTAGTTAATTGTGAAAAAGTATAATAGCTAATAGTTAATAGTTTTTTTATACTCTTTCGTATATGCTTATTTATTTATTTAAACACATAAATATTGGTACAAAGGGGCACTGAATACAAATGCGCCACACAGGTCACTTGACTAGTCTGTGGGCTATGATACTTCCTGGGTGCCCAAACCGAAGCAGGTGGTTTTCTTGGGGGGCCACACCTGGAACCTTTGACCTAAAGGTCTGATCCGCAAGGCAGTGGAGTAACGTCAGGAGATATAATCCCATGGTAGCCAGTAACCAATAACTGGTTCATATTCCATTTGTTCCTTCAGGATCCTGGAGTCCACCTTTGGTTTGTAGTCGGTTTTCCAACCCCCAAGTGGACTCTCCGTGTCCACCGACCCGGTTAAAGAGCCGGACATTCTCTTTTCGTCCTCTCAATTTCATAAACAAAAGCGGTGCCGCGAGAAGGCAGTGGCTGTATACGCGTGGCCATGTGAGAGCATTTCAAGAGGGAGAGTTTAACTAAATACGAACATTGATATAGATCACCAGGTTACTTGAAATATTAAATCAAATGAAACAGTTAAGATATAGCGTTGTTGAGTAACTTTGTGTTATGATGTACTATTACAAAGTTTATGCCCCCTTTCTTATAGTTTGTGGAATTATGAAGATAGCAGAACCATATGACTATTTCAGGTACAGTGATAGACTTCTAAGAAAGCAGGGTGGGAGTTCCGAACTAACCTAAATTTCTGGGAATCTCTGTAATGCTATTATTGTAACTCTTCTTAGCTTGAGGAACATAACTAAAACTCCAATTCAAGTTTTTGTTAAACCGTTTAAAAAGTGAGCTGCGTCGATACTATGAATCTTATTTTATCCATTGGCATTCATGACTCTACTGTAGGCTATTTTTTATTCTTTGGGTCCTTATACGATAACTAACATTAGTAAAAGCTCAAATGTTCCGTCGAAATAATTCGTGTTCTTTTTTCTTCAGATTTTACCCAAAAATCATGTAGTGAAAACCCTACAGACAATTACGAATTGCAATTGGCATGGTATAGAAAATGGTACTATAGGTGCAATTAACGGTTGTCGTCCAGTCTGTAAACCTGACCTTAGTAGTATTCAGGCAGAAGAATTCTGGGTCGGTGTGAACTATTCACTTTCTGCTCTTATGATAGCCGAGGTATGGACCGGCTTAATAGTTGTTATTTCAGAAATTTGTTTCCTCGTTAATCTTTAGTATGTTACGTTGCATTGATGAATTCTCATTACTTCTAGTTCACATCAAAGTCATGCGAAACCTTTGATGTATAAATCACACTATTTCCTACCTTGATTAGTCAGTTGAGTAAGATCTTTGTGTACCACACAATTTTATCATTTGATTCCTAAAGTTCATTGACGTATTGTTTGAATATACTAGTCAAAATTCATAATTGAATCTACCTAGTGGACATTCAGTTGTTTCATAATATAGAGTAAGTTAACTTCTTTATACAAATCTATCATTAAGTGGAAAGACTGATCCTTTTTAATCTAGCTACTTATCCACCTTCCTCTATTTGAATATATTTACGTGCATGTTGTACTTTTTTTATAATGAATACTATAGTATTGATGACAAAGATATTTCTCCGCTAGTTGACTTGCTAATCTTTCGTCAGGATAGTGTTTTAAATTCGATTTTTGAAAGTTAGTTTCGAAAATTAATGACAAGTATTTCTTATTACAGGAGCATTCGCAATTATTGTAGTCTTTGTATACAATGATAATAATTTTGTACTATGACACTATGGGGGATGTGTTTATTTCATATGCTTGTAAGCAATATAAAAAATTTACGTCTTCACTTTATTCAGTATTGTTGGTTAGACAAATTCAATTTTCCAGATGCATTTTAACCAATTAAATGTATTAACCATATGCCTTTGGTGCTTATCTACGTGTTAACAATATCCTACTCACCATATCGTAATCTCTATAATAGGATTTCATGTAGTTGTAGAATGCTAGTGATATAGTTAAAGAGCTTGAATTTCAGCCAGTAGGCGACAGATTCGAACCCTATTTCAGCTATAGTGATTTAAGCGACTAATTAGTATCACTAGCCCTTTACACAACAAAATACATGGTAAAATTTATGTGCTTGTTAAATGAGCTGCACTTCAATAGAATCCAAGTAAAGAACAAATGTTGTAAAAAGGACATATGAGATCGGAGAATGCTAAACATCGAATGATATGACGTACAAAATGTAGAGAAAGATAAGAAACGAATGTATCTGCGACTGCTTTAACCCCAGTATATACAACTACAGATCAAACTTTATCCTGCTACTCTACTTCTGGAAATGTCCATCTGCCGACACTGCTCGGTCCGACAGTCTTGAAGTTATGTCGAGAAAAGCGGACTGTTTATCATCCTTACATTTATGTACGTGAAGTCAGCCTAAAGTTGTTTAATAATCATTTTACTTTTTTTTGTGTTAGGGAATGATTAACGAGGGATTGGCTCTCGGCGAAAAATGCTACAACACTATTTACAATCTTTACGGATTGCAATACCAAACACCTGAAGCATACATGTCCGATGGTCGTTTTCGTTGTCCTGGATATATGCGTGCATTGGCTATTTGGAGTATTCAGCAGGCATTAGAATTTACCAACATATACAAATGCTCAGATGCTTCAAAATTTAATGCTACATTTACAAACATTTAGGCTTGAAATAGTAAAGATAATTCAATAAGCAAACGATTGTACCTAAATTTATACTGTAAGCCATACTGATCTTTTGTTAACTTGTTTGTTACATTTCGAGTACTTTATTTTTTATGATTACTCTGCTCCTACATTAGGGAAAAATGGATCGTTATAGTTATTTTACTTTTTTTTCTTTTATATATAGTTATGGAGATTTATCTAAGTGACTTTCTTCAAATCCTGCTTCTTTCTATATTCTGTCGAGAACAATTTCGATAACTTTTCTATCTTAACATTTATAACGTAAAGGTAAAACATTTATTTTATTTACTAAGTATTACATTTCCATATATATATATATATATATATATATATATATATATATATATATATATATATATATTGCTTTTCCAGATTGTTTTCGTAGACAAAGCCTTCATTGTCAATATAGTGTTTATTTTCTGTGTTAGTCCAGAAAATAATTATTCCAAGTATATTAACTGAATGTGATCGGTTATTGGCTAATAAACAGAGCGTTACTAGCAAAACTTAGGGAACTGTTCCTAACAACTAGTTGTAACAAGAATAACTGTATTGTATACATATATTTTTAATGTAATTTGGACTTGTGTTAGTGGCGGAGTTCATTCCAGCAACAACATTGTGATGATGATTTAACTGTATTTGCTCTCGTAAAGAATAACTCGTACAAAACATTGCTTTGCCCATTGTATTCCGTTGAAACAGGTGAGCATTACTGTAATTATTTGATATACTCTTCCGAATTTATCTAGTTCCTGAAAGAGTATTCATTTTCATGAGTCTGTAACTGCAACTTTGATTATATACTGTTGTGTTCTTTTTTAACAATGAGAGCTTTTCCATCATGGTAAACTCTCAGACCGAATGTACGCTGTACTCAAGGCCAGACTCAACATTTTATTGTCCTTCACGGAGCTTTGTCTTCTAACATCCTTTTAAAACTAGATATGCATTCAAGTGAGAAACAGTATAGGAACTCAGAGAGGAAGCAGTCCCTTTTACCTTTCCTAGGACCTTGAAGTGACCTACTAGTGCCATATAACTGCTTGACTGCGCATCTTTATAACTTGCCTGACGCATATCTAACTGGCATTCAGTAGGTGTAACACTACGTCAATGTCGAATACACTTTGGTGTACACTCATTGAAAGTAAGGGATAAAGTCTTTGATGTTAACTTAAGTCAGATAATCATGGAAGGATAGTTGCATGCTCACAATTGATTGATCACTGGGTGGTGATCAATGTCATGTTTGTCTAGTCCTTATTAGTGAAGATCGAATGCTATCGATCATGTTGCAATGTGGCCACCAGTCTAGGTGACTCGACACTGCGGGCACTATGTATTGAGATTTAGATGGTATGCCAAGTAGCACGAAACCCGGGTCCAGGGTTTCCTGTTGACTACCTCCAACTACCATCTAAATAGTTGCATGCTCTAAATTGCTGTCAACAAAAATGTAGAAACCTATTGCGAATTTCGTTCCGTCGGGCTGCTATTTAGATAATGGGAACCAGGTTCAAATTTCAAAATAATAAATTTAAGTAAACAATTGTGAAAACTTATTCGTACTCGTGCTTCTTATGTGTTGAGTGCTTAATTACTGAATAAAAATTAGATTTATTATTAATAGAAGGCAATTTAATCATTCTTCACGTATTAATCTATCTTCGTCATTTTTTGGCCCTACGTATATAAACAACATAGTATTACACGGAGATGCTGACAAGATTTTTTGAAGTTTTTCAGCTAAAAGCAGTCAGTAAAGTCGGCAGGTGTCTTTGGAAACTGTTACGAATCAAACAAGATGTTTGAATTTAGGTGGTATATGTATGTAGCAACTATCTGATCACAAAACTCGAGGCATCTGTCCACTGTATATCTCCCGAGTGAGTAATCTATAAGTAGGGGATTAGTTGTTAGGCAGAATCGGTAGTTTGTTTGGCGTCTCACAAACCATTACCGACCGTAGTGAATGGTGTATGTGTTACACATGCCTATCACGAGACGCTATGTTGACGTAGAGTGTGTTCGAAGCCGACAGACATCAGTCTATGAAATCACTAGCTTCCATTAAGTTGCATTGATAAGTGTGGACTCCTCGCCTGGGATCAATAGGATAAATACCGGGTAATATGGCCTCAAGCTGTTTACAGATGAATTCATACTTTATCTCCTCCTAAATCTTTAGTCTAATTTCAACCTCACTTCTTTTTTTCGAACCATACTTTTTATGTTCACCTTTTCACACTAGTGGATGTTGACATTTCCCTATTTTTAGGATTTAGTGATAAGAGCTGGTGTCGAGAAATCTCACGCTGCAGACTGCGCTTGAAATATGCCTGAAGGCTATCCTGCTACACTTGGTCTTTTATAAAAACATCTGACCAGTTTATCACTGATTTAACTGAGTATGGCAACCGTGATATGAGTGCTTACATTTTGAATCTCAAAGATTTGTTCAAGTGCTAGTAATTCTATAAATGGTACTAGTGATCAGACAATGTGCACGTTTACTATTACATCAATCGTAATAAGAAGTGCCTATGACAAAAAGCAAGATAGGTAGCTGGAAAATAGTGGTAACTGTGGCACCAAGACAACTAGACGCAGATAACTTCATGATTCATACGACACTATTCGCAATATATTCTCAGGATGTAAAGACCCTCATTACTTTCTAATCTTAACTTCTGACTCAATGAAAACCTATTACTAACTCGTACGTAGAGCCGAACTACTTTCATACTTTATATAATATTCCAGCTATAGATTTTTGTACTCAACTTCTGTTCAAAACGAAATCGGCAAAACAGGACTAGTCTATTAATTACTGGCTGGAAGCTTCAGTCGATAAGCAACTGATGCAACTATTTCTGATGTTCTTTCGTCATATCCACAGTGCGAAAACCATACGATAAGGGGATTCAAGTGATTCTCAAGAAACAAGAAATCGGGTTGAAGGACAATTGAGATCTTCAGACTTGAAAGAGAAACTGGGAGCTGACAAAGATGAATATCGGCAAACATTCGCCAAAACTAATAATAATTCTTTTAGTCAATCATGGTCAAGGTGGGACCTAGTCAAATCTGCATCATCCGAGTTACCGCCCCAAAGCGAACTTGGATTCTCTAATATAGAGGACGGTCGCTAAGTAGTGTAGTCCAAGCCGATCATGAAGATGATTTGGACCAACAAACCAGTGAAACATCATCGGTTGAAACGGTCATACATTAAATCTATGTATGGTGATCGGTATCACGATATGCCGAGAAAGTTGACGAGTGGAGCATTTTTCAGCTACAACGTAGGACTAGGCACATATATGTATCGGTCCAAGTTGCCATATTTCATTAGCACAATAAGATGAACACCGAATTCATACAAGTAGTTACTTCAATGGTAGTAATATGTAAAAAAAAGATTGTGTATAAGGAGATAGTACAGAAAATAAAAATTAGTTCGTAGGCAGAAAGATATAAAGCAATTTTAATCTCACAGTTTAAGGGAAGATAGAGAGTATATACACCTACGCCATTGTGATCGATTCTGAGCCATGTCACACAGACTTCCGTCCTACTGTCTCCAACACTAGTCAGCATTGCGCATTGTCATAATCGGAGTTCAGGCATACGAAACACGTTGCCGAACCATCTCAGTTGATGAAGATTTGCAACCCCATCACCTGATTTACCATCATTCCCTGCGTCTAACCTCACTATTACTTATCCGGTGATCCCAGCAAATGCCAGTAATATTTCTAAGACAAATACTAGTAACTTACGACTTCTACACTTAATGACCACGTTTCGCAGCCGTAAAGTAGAACAGAACGAACTACCGAGCAGTATAGTCGTCCGTCTCTTGATAGACAGATATCTCGCCTTTGCCGTAGGTGACGTAAACTGGCAAAAGCAGATGAATTTTTCGAATCCGTGCAGAGATTCCATCAGACACCAACTCATTAGGTCGGACCAGACTTCCAAGATAAGTGAAGTTGTCGACGCGTGCGACTACTTCACTCTCCATCCTTAGTCCAGGTGTTGACGCAGGCAACAATTTTCATTTGGAGGAGGAGAAACACATCCCAAACATCCTGGCATTGTTGCTCAGTGCTACCGGGAAACTCTACCTTTCACCAGTTGTTCTTCCTCGTTTGAGATTAGCTACAGCCTTTCGAACTTCAGCTAGAGTCGCGGGACCTACTTCAACATTACATTCAGGCTGTTTTGAAATTATGGGCAGTCGTAGAGTGGCTGAATGTCAGCTAAACTGCTCCTTGAAATATTTCGCTCATCGTTCTAAACGTCTGGGCTGAGAGTAGATACGCATGTCGTCTTTTCCTGAGACTTCTTAATTCCAGTTCCCTTATTAATCTGGAGTGGAGTGTTTACGTCTAGAAGTTCGCGTTCCACCGAGTTTTAGACTACTGAAAAACACTACTACACCACGAATCGTCTTTCACCGATACCTCTAACGTGAAATCAGGTCTTCAATAGACGTTGCATCATCGACATAAGATAACTGCCGTTTTGTTCATTTACTGAAATAGGCCGTGTATTGGGAAAAATCACTTCAAGATTAAGGGTCTTAATTTTTTTTAATTTCATCAAGTGCAAAAGGTGAAAAGACAGGTATGTGAATTTAAGGCAGGTAACATGTTTGCTGGTACAATTAAACGTCCATATAAAACAAAGTAATTTAAGTGGTCAGATTTCACCATAAACGTATGGTAAAATTTAACTATATGTATAAATAAAGTTCCAGTAGTTTTAATAAGGTAATTATCTCACACTAAAGCGAACGGAAAAGACACTAACTATGACCTTTTGATAGTGTATAAACATCTGTTAGCAGAACATGGTACTTCCTAGATGTCCATGCTAGGATAACAGACCAGTGTAAGGACGACAACGACCACAAATCCGACCGGAAAGATGAAATTTCTAAGATATGTTAGTCTAACTGCTAACTTACGACGGTTTTTCATTTCATTGCATAAATTCCCCAGAAGCACCGCCAAAGAGAGAATTGACCCAACTATACCCAGCCACATGTACCGGCGAAGGATACATGGCCATACTCTCCAGTGTCCTCTGAGTAACTGTATGTCGACATATAGTCCAACAGACCCAAACAAAACTGGAAATAAAAACGACAGAACTCACTTGAAAACGAACAACAAACTGCAGTCTCTACATCTCGCACTGTGATATAAAATACATTGAAGCATACTCCAACCAAGATACCAATAACCTGGTAAATTAATTTTATCTTTACATTTCTTTGGACATTAAACCCTAATGGTGAAGATAACATATGATGTTTGTAAATGACGACCTTGGTAAATGGTACCTGAACCCTGAAACTCAGCAGCCGACGAAGGACACTACGTTTGTTCTCAAGGTCGAACTCGCTGTTGGATGTTGAAGACACTACTATTTTACTGATGAACGTCTCCGAATATTTAACAAATTATGATATGATAAGTAGTACCTTATGAAATGAGATATATGTCTAGATGTTAAAGGACTGCATAAGAAAGCACTACTGAGCATTCTATCTAACACGCATCTCCAAAGTATTATGTAATGAAAATTAAACCTGCTATTCATTATGAGACATAAGCTATCGACCAGAAATATTCAATAAACGCCGCTCTATGCTCTCCCGCACATTTTTACAAGTGTTATTCAGTTCAATTCTCGATGCAATATTTGTGGTAAATTCCCAAGTTTGGGCTCTCTATGAGAGGACTGTACTCAAATTTATGTTGACACTTCTGACTTAAATCTTGTTATCAAAGTATGCCAACCCAGAAAAATCTGAAATCAGAAATGTAGAGGTTCGAAGTCGCATTCGAAGGGCAATCGATATCTCAGCAAGCGTTTAGTCTAAGCTGGCTAACCATTACAGTGGATGCGTAGCACGGAGTGCCCACTCGTGACCTGGTTCCACCGCAAATCTGAGGAGTTCCAGTTCGGAAAGGATAGGCGGGCGTGATGGCCTGTGTTAGTCCCGGCAATGGTGGTCTCTCGGTTGATCCAACTTTCTTTTGAAAGAGTGGACGGATGGAGCTCAACCACGTGATGAGTTAATCAATTCTACTCGTTGATGATTCTGTAGCTTAGTGTCGAGTCGAAATTGACTATGAAGACCGCTATCAAGAAACACGTGCCAAGTTAATCAGAAGGCGAAGGTTGAACGTAACCAAATAAATCCAGAAAATCTCCGAGAAGCCAAATATCAGAAGACAGTTAATGGACCAAGTCGAGGTGTATATTTGCTGGCGATCTCGTGGCATCGAAAGGATACCGAGATCGTGCCAGGATACAACCTTGGTTACAGAAGGTAACCGAATTCGCGCGAAGTTACAATCGAAGTGTGTGTAAAAGAAAGGAAGCAAAATATAGCTGTCATTAGCACAGTCAAACAAAAGCACGTTAAAACAAACACTGGTACAGTTGGTTATAATAATAATTGTTTCTATTAAACCAGTCGTGTTCTCGTGATAAATGTGAGTCACTACAGGAGCCCCCCGCTAGAAAGGGTTTACACTTTCGATAAATAGCGGTTTGAATCGTGGGACTGATCGGCTGACGAGCGATTGTAGGACGGAAGAATTGGCGAACAGGAAAGCGATCGTTGATCGTCGAGTTGCCAACGAAGGTCGTTTTCGGAGAACGGTACCAGGAGCGATGTGTTGTATTTATTGTTTGAGTTGGCATGCTACACGAGAGTGGTTTGTATCCAGAATCTGAAGATTGCGTTCGTAGGGTGCGCACCAGAAACGCTGCAGACGTAGGACGAAACCACGTTGAGCCAAAAGACCAGAAGCGACCGTAACGACCAAGTTCGAGACCAAGCGTATGCCAAGCATTCGAAACCAATATATCGACTGAGTACGTTGACAAGAGCGTGGGTGATCAGGCCAGCTTTCGCCAAAGTTGACTGAAGTCGACGGAACCAAACGGAGATGGTCGAAGGCGTGGGCTCAGGAAACAAAAAGAAAATCAAAAAAGAGAAGAGTGTAGCATGCGTGTAGTATAGGAATAATCCTACACCGTATCGTTTGTTAACTGTGCGGCTAGTCGCGGAAGCGTACGGGTAACCGTACTCGGCGACCGGAACGTGAGACGGTAGTCTCGTTCGCGTCGCGTGAGCCTGCAATCTCATCCGAAGTCAAGGGCGGCGTGGTCTGCTGATCTGGACGTGAGACTGTCGTCTCGTCCGTAGACGGTGCAGATGACGCGTGCTGTTGACCGGGACGTGAGAATGAGGTCTCAGATGTATCTAGCGTGGGACCTGAAGAAGGTTTAAGGATCCCGCTAGTAGGTTTGATAGGTCTAGCATTGAATCTCAGGTTATCAGATAGGGCACTGTCATCGACGTGTGCTGGTTTGAGACGATCAATGCTGACGATCTCGACGCGTCCATATCGATCAACCTTGAAGGTCTTTTCGTGACGAGCGATCACGTGAAAAGGGCCTTCGTAAGGTTGTTGCCAAGTTTGCGTACCGAATCTACTCGTATGAAAACATGTGAACAGGTAGATAACTCTCGAGGGAGAGCGACCTGTCGATGTTGTATTCGAGTTGACACCGGAGACAGCGTTCGCATAAATGCAGACAGTCGATGGACGTAGTCTGATTTACCGAAATTAGGTCTGCTCCGTGGTGTGAAGAATTCTCCGGGCAGACGCAATGTCGTGCCGAATACCAGTTCAGCGGCGGAACATTGTATATCTGCCTTCAAGCTCGTTGTGATCCCTAAAAGAACGAGCGGTAAGGTTTCGTGCCAGTTGCCGTTTTCGTGTGCTCGTATAGCACTTTTAAGTTGGCAGTGAAACCGTTTACTTAACCATTTGGTGCTGGGTGGTAGACAGATATGCTTATGCGTATGCATTCCGTACCAAGCAGCCGGGTCAGCGAGGAGAACAGTTAATAGGGGAAACTTTCTCGAATAAAGCGTGGAATTCATCGTCACGCGAATAAAAAGTAACAAGGATTCGGTACACATACATGTGAGTCTATTATATTAATACTATTATTATCGTTATCCGTCATGTCGAGTATATTATATATTAAAAAATATGAAAATATACGACAGACGTGGATAGATAAATCATAGACTCACCGAATTGGCTTCTTTGGAAGATTTGATCAGAAGTTGAGGCGTGTTCCAAAATACGGGTCACCAATGTAGCGTGGCGTCGAGTCGAAATTGACTATGAACACCGCTATCAAGAAACACGTGCCAAGTTAATCAGAAGGCGAAGGTTGAACGTAACCAAATAAATCCATAAAATCTCCGAGAAGCCAAATATCAGAAGACAGTTAATGGACCAAGTCGAGGTGTATATTTGCTGGCGATCTCGTGGCATCGAAAGGATACCGAGATCGTGCCAGGATACAACCTTGGTTACAGAAGGTAACCGAATTCGCGCGAAGTTACAATCGAAGTGTGTGTAAAAGAATGGAAGCAAAATATAGCTGTCATTAGCACAGTCAAACAAAAGCACGTTAAAACAAACACTGGTACAGTTGGTTATAATAATAATTGTTTCTATTAAACCAGTCGTGTTCTCGTGATAAATGTGAGTCACTACAGGAGCCCCCCGCTAGAAAGGGTTTACACTTTCGATAAATAGCGGTTTGAATCGTGGGACTGATCGGCTGACGAGCGATTGTAGGACGGAAGAATTGGCGAACAGGAAAGCGATCGTTGATCGTCGAGTTGCCAACGAAGGTCGTTTTCGGAGAACGGTACCAGGAGCGATGTGTTGTATTTATTGTTTGAGTTGGCATGCTACACGAGAGTGGTTTGTATCCAGAATCTGAAGATTGCGTTCGTAGGGTGCGCACCAGAAACGCTGCAGACGTAGGACGAAACCACGTTGAGCCAAAAGACCAGAAGCGACCGTAACGACCAAGTTCGAGACCAAGCGTATGCCAAGCATTCGAAACCAATATATCGACTGAGTACGTTGACAAGAGCGTGGGTGATCAGGCCAGCTTTCGCCAAAGTTGACTGAAGTCGACGGAACCAAACGGAGATGGTCGAAGGCGTGGGCTCAGGAAACAAAAAGAAAATCAAAAAAGAGAAGAGTGTAGCATGCGTGTAGTATAGGAATAATCCTACACCGTATCGTTTGTTAACTGTGCGGCTAGTCGCGGAAGCGTACGGGTAACCGTACTCGGCGACCGGAACGTGAGACGGTAGTCTCGTTCGCGTCGCGTGAGCCTGCAATCTCATCCGAAGTCAAGGGCGGCGTGGTCTGCTGATCTGGACGTGAGACTGTCGTCTCGTCCGTAGACGGTGCAGATGACGCGTGCTGTTGACCGGGACGTGAGAATGAGGTCTCAGATGTATCTAGCGTGGGACCTGAAGAAGGTTTAAGGATCCCGCTAGCAGGTTTGATAGGTCTAGCATTGAATCTCAGGTTATCAGATAGGGCACTGTCATCGACGTGTGCTGGTTTGAGACGATCAATGCTGACGATCTCGACGCGTCCATATCGATCAACCTTGAAGGTCTTTTCGTGACGAGCGATCACGTGAAAAGGGCCTTCGTAAGGTTGTTGCCAAGTTTTGCGTACCGAATCTACTCGTATGAAAACATGTGAACAGGTAGATAACTCTCGAGGGAGAGCGACCTGTCGATGTTGTATTCGAGTTGACACCGGAGACAGCGTTCGCATAAATGCAGACAGTCGATGGACGTAGTCTGATTTACCGAAATTAGGTCTGCTCCGTGGTGTGAAGAATTCTCCGGGCAGACGCAATGTCGTGCCGAATACCAGTTCAGCGGCGGAACATTGTATATCTGCCTTCAAGCTCGTTGTGATCCCTAAAAGAACGAGCGGTAAGGTTTCGTGCCAGTTGCCGTTTTCGTGTGCTCGTATAGCACTTTTAAGTTGGCAGTGAAACCGTTTACTTAACCATTTGGTGCTGGGTGGTAGACAGATATGCTTATGCGTATGCATTCCGTACCAAGCAGCCGGGTCAGCGAGGAGAACAGTTAATAGGGGAAACTTTCTCGAATAAAGCGTGGAATTCATCGTCACGCGAATAAAAAGTAACAAGGATTCGGTACACATACATGTGAGTCTATTATATTAATACTATTATTATCGTTATCCGTCATGTCGAGTATATTATATATTAAAAAATATGAAAATATACGACAGACGTGGATAGATAAATCATAGACTCACCGAATTGGCTTCTTTGGAAGATTTGATCAGAAGTTGAGGCGTGTTCCAAAATACGGGTCACCAATGTAGCGTGGCGTCGAGTCGAAATTGACTATGAACACCG